GCTTTCTTTGTCCCTCCTCCCCTGCCTTGTTACTTTGTCGCCCTCCTACCCTGCCTTGTTACTTTGTTACCGGTTTTTCCCCAGGCAGAGGTACCTTCCTTCAGTGTTAGATTTTGGAAGCACCCACAAGGCACTAATAAACTGGACCCACCCATGTTGGAGTCAGCTGTCATTCACCGCCCTAACTCCCCTGTCATACGACATCACTGAGTCCAAAACATCATCCCTGGTCACTCAAAGTTCCTCAGATGTCCTCTGTCTTGTTCTTTATGACCTTATTGCTCTCCGTCATTCAGAAGTAAAGTTTTCTTATTTTCCAGGAAACAGGTGTCCTCTTCTTGGCTATGCTGTAGCCATACCTTCCCTAGCCCCCACCCACTGCCCTAACAGTAAGAGCCCCTAGGGCCCTGTGGGGTGAGAGACAGTTCCAGAAAGGTGTGAGAAGAGCCCATTTCCCATTGGGCTTCAGGGTGAGAGAACTCATTGGGAATGTCAAACTGTGGGGCACTCAGGGAAGTTTCTGCTTGGAATAAGATGGCAGTTGAAGGACTGGGGATGAATGAGAAAGGAATTCAAGGGTGGCAGGGTGTAGAGGGGAGAGTAAGGAAACTGAAGTAGACTGAGAACTTAAAGATCCCATGATTCAGAGAGAAAAGAACAGGAGTCTTCAGAGGATGCAGAGAAGCAGAGGAAGTGGAGAGAGGCCACAGGAGGGGTTTTCATCAGAAGGCTGCAGGGGACATTGTGAAATGCCCTAGAGAAGTTACATGGAAAAATAAGGCAGAAACCAGTGGGTGTGATAGCAAGGAGTGTGATAATGCTGTCATTCACCGCCCTAATGTTGGGTAAGTAGTGATGGGAGGTGGGATGAGTGGGCAGGGACAGTAGATAGCACGTTCCCAGAGAAGACTGAGAAGGGAGGGAGAGAACAACCTGCTGAGGGGGCTTGTTAGAGGGGCCAGAAGGACCCTGCTGGAGAGAGAAAGGCTGCTTGATGGAGCATCCTCATGACAGAGGTGCAAAGACACATCCGTCCACCCTCAGGCTAGACAGGGCAAGGAGCTGGAGCACACGGGTCTTGCGTTCAGTGGTTCTCACACCTGCGCTGCATCAGAAACACTTGTTAACATGGGGCTCATTTTAATGCAGATTGCTGGGCCTCATCCCAAAATTTCTGGCCCAACAGGCCTGGGGTGGGACCCTTGAACCGGCATTTCTAACAAGTTTCTGAAGCTGCTAATGCTGTGGTCAGGAACGCCACTATGAGAACCTCTGTCTGCCTCAGTCAAATGTTGGCTCTATACCTCCTGACCGTGGAAAGTTACTGAAGTCTAAATCTCAGCTCACTCATTGGGGCAATGGTATAATGATCATGACCACTTCAGGGGTTGGTGTGGGGTCACAGGTAGGCTTACCCTAACCTTTGCTGTGGCTGGGGCAGAAAGCAAATCCAGATATGTACATGCTGAAAATTTGTTACTTAGGCTGCAAACTCATCAATCTATCTCTTCTCCTACCTTCAGAACTATGACATCTTTTCAGCCATGGTCACCCTCAGCTACTGCTCCCTGAGCGGACACGGCAGGTGTTTCTCTGAGGCTACTACCACAGATAGGTCTCAGTGAGGCTGCAGGCCACCAGCTGGGACTCAAGGGAATGGTTTTCTATTGACATACACCTGGGTTCTCCACTAGGCCTTCAAGGCAAATGGCCTCAGTCTGGCAGAGAGCCACCCTAGCCTTCCGCCCCTGAGCTGAGCTCACTGGGACCACCAGCTGCCTGTGTAATCCTTGCAACCTATGGCAGGGTATGCACACCTGGGCTAACCTGGCACTGGGAAGTTTATTTTTAAAAAATACATGTTTTTATTGATTTTTTTTTTTTTTGAGAAGAAGGGAAAGGAGAGAGAGAGAAAAAAACAACAACCCAAAAAAACCATCGATGTGAGAGAGAAACATCAATCGGTTGCCTCTTATCTGCACCCTGACCAGGGATCAAACCCGCAACCTGGGTATATGCCCTGACCTGGAATGGAACAGACAACCTTTCAGTGCATGGGATGACAACCAACTGAGCCACACCTACCAGGGTGGGAATTTTTTATTGTAGCAAGACTGTGAGGGAAGTGGGGAGGGAGGTGGTGGTGATGAGGGGCCTGCTGGCTCTGCTTGCCCTGGTTTTCCCCTTGGGTGGGGGGCCCAGGGCAGGTGAAGCTCAGGAAGATGCCCTCCAGGGAGACCTCGCTGACTGAGTAGTCATCTAGCATGTTTCTTGGCTTGCTCCCGAATGCCAAATACCTACAGTGGACGGTAGGCACCGGGGAGGGGGTAGGAGACAGCAGAGGGTGGAAAGAAGGAGGGTCCTTGGAGTTGTGATAAGGCCCCCAAAAGGCCCATCTTTCAGCTGCCCCCAGAGCACTCCCAGCATGTCAGTCCTACAGAATTCAGCTGTCTGCCATCTCGGGGACCCTGGTTGGGAATGGTGCCAGGAAACAGAGGTCCCGGCAAGCCCCTGGCTTGCTGTACCATGCTGGGTATGTGGCGTTCTCTGGGCCTGCTACCCTCTCTGTGAAATGAGGAGGAGCTGATCTCCAAGGTCCCTTCCAGCACAGACATCTAATGTTCTATGAAATCCATATGAACATTGCCATGGAAACATCCGAGAGGAACCGCAGCAGCACTGAACGTGATTTCCACCCGAAGGAGAAAACACCAGAAAGCAGGTGACATCAGAGCTGCGCTCCCTCCAATGCCCAGGTATATGCTCACCTTCACCCAGCTGAGAGCATTGCCAGGCAGGTGATAACAGGCCATCCGTTGGTGCTCATCTTCCA